ACACACACACACAGAGACACACACACAGAGACACACACACAGAGACACACACACACACAGAGACACACACAGACACACAGAGACACACACAGACACACACAAGGCACACACAAGGCACACACAAGGCACACACACAAGGCACACACACAAGGCACACACACAAGGCACACACACAAGGCACACACACAAGGCACACACACAAGGCACACACACAAGGCACACACACAAGGCACACACACAAGGCACACACACAAGGCACACACAGACACACACAGAAGGCACACACAGAAGGCACACACAGACACACACAGACACACACAGACACACACAGACACACACAGAGACACACAGAGACACACAGAGACACACAGAGACACACACAGACACACAGAGACACACAGAGACACACAGAGACACACAGAGACACACAGAGACACACAGAGACACACAGAGACACACATAGACACACAGAGACACACAGAGACACACAGATACACACAGAGACACACAGAGACACACAGAGACACACAGAGACACACAGAGACACACAGAGACACACAGAGACACACTGAGACACACAGAGACACACAGACACACACAGACACACACAGACACACACAGACACACACAGACACACACAGACACACACAGACACACACAGACACACACAGACACACACAGACACACACAGACACACACAGACACACACAGACAAACACAGACACACACAGACAAACACAGACACACACAGACACACACAGACACACACAGACACACACAGACACACACAGACACACACAGACACACACAGACACACACAGACACACACAGACACGCACAGACACACACAGACACACACAGACACACACAGACACACACAGACACACACAGACACACACAGACACGACACACAGACACACACAGACACAACACAGACACACACAGACACACACAGACACACACAGACACACACAGACACACACAGACACACACAGACACACGCAGACACACACAGACACACGCAGACACACGCAGACACACGCAGACACACGCAGACACACACAGACACACACAGACACACACAGACACACACAGACACACACAGACACAGACACACACAGACACACACAGACACACACAGACACACACAGACACACACAGACACACACAGACACACACAGACACACACAGACACACACAGACACACACAGACACACACAGACACACACAGACACACACAGACACACACAGACACACACAGACACACACAGACACACGCAGACACACCCAGACACACACAGACACACACAGACACACACAGACACACACAGACACACACAGACACACACAGACACACACAGACACACACAGACACACACAGACACACACAGACACACACAGACACACACAGACACACAGACAGACACACAGACACACACAGACTCACACAGACACACACAGACACACACAGACACACACAGACACACACAGACACACACAGACACACACAGACACACACAGACACACACAGACACACACAGACACACACAGACACACACAGACACACACAGACACACACACACACAGACACACACAGACACACACAGACACACACAGACACACACAGACACACACAGACACACACAGACACACACAGACACACACAGACACACACAGACACACACAGACACACACAGACACACACAGACACACACCGACACACACCACACACAGACACACACAGACACACACAGACACACACAGACACACACAGACACACACAGACACACACAGACACACACAGACACACACAGACACACACAGAGACACACAGAGACACACACACACAGAGACACACAGAGACACACACAGAGACACACACAGAGACACACACAGAGACACACACAGAGACACACACACACACAGAGACACACACAGAGACGACACACACAGACACACACAGACACACACACACACACACACACACACACACACACACACACACACACACACACACACACACACACACACACACACACACACACACACACACACACACACACACACACACACACACACACACACACACACACTCACACACACACACACACACACACACACACACACACACACACACACACACACACACACACACACACACACACACACACACACACACACACACACACACACACACACACCACACACACACACACACACATAGACCAGAGGCACACAAAATCACCCAAACAGGCGCACACACAAACACACACACGAACACACACCCAAAAAAAAGTAACCACACACAAACCAACACAAACAAACCCACATGCACACAAATCACAAATACAAACAACCACACAGACAGACACACAGTCAAACAAACGAACAAACAGACCGACAACCGAACAGCCAGCCAGCCAACCAATGAGAGAGACAGGCAAATAAACAAAACACACACACACAAACACCACACACACACACGACACACACAC